TAATAATAATAATGATAATAATAATAATAAAACAATGTTAGTGACAGTAATAACAATGATGATAATATAAACTATCATCATCATTTACTGCTACTATCATCATACCATGATTTTCTTCATCATTTTCATTTTTATTCTTATTTTCATTACCTAACAATAATACCAACGAAATACCATCATTATCACAATGATCTCAATTTCCCTAATACTCCTAAAATCATCATCAGTTACCATTATCAATAACAATAACAGCAAAAAATATATATATATATATAATAAATAAAAAAAAACAATAATGACATTTGGACTCAGCAGAGTATCTTCCTAATATCAGTATGACATTTAAGCGATAAATCGTTATGTTACAAGTCATCCCAAGTATGTGTTTCTTATCTAATGGTGTTTCTCGTGGTCCATTATGATGATAGTAAAAACAAATGATGATAATATTGATAAGAATGTGATTATGATTGATGGTGATGATAATTATAATGATCGTTATGATGATGATGATGATGATGATGATGATGATGAGGAGGAGGAGGAGGAGGAGGAGGAGGAGGAGGATGAGGAGGAGGAGGAGAATAATGATGATAATGATGATGATGATGATGATGATGATGATGATGATGATGATGATGATGATGATGATGATGAGGATGATGATGATGATGATGATGATGATGATGATGAGGATGATGATGATGATGATGATGATGATGATGGTGATGATGATGATGATAATAATTATGATGATAAAGCTATTTATAATAATAATGATGATAAAAATGATAACGATGATAATATTAATCCTAATAAAAAGGATAATTCTAATCATAGCAATTACGATGATAACAATTGAAAATACGATGCTGATATTACTGATGAGGAGGATAATGATGATGATGATAAATATAGTAATGATACTGATAATGATAATGATAATGTTAATCATAATGATAGCAAATGAATGATGATAATAATAATAATAATAATAATGATAATAATAATAATAATAATAATAATAAGAAGAAGAAGAAGAACAATAATAATAATAGTAATAAAAATAACAATAAATAATGAAATAATGATAATAATAAATGGTAATGCTGATAATAATAATAATAATGATAATAATAATGGTGCTAATAATAATGATAATAATAATAATAATAATAATAATAATAATAATAATAATAATAATAATAATATGGATTACCATTATCATTATTATTATTATTATTATTATCCTTATTATTATCATTATTATCATTATTATTATTATTATCATTATCATTATTATTGCTATCATTACTATTATTATAGGTACTGTTGTTGTTATTATTATTATCATCATGAAATTTACTATAATATTTGTTTTTATTATCATTCATAATTATTATTATTGTCATTATGATTGTTATTATTATTACTATTATTATTATTATTATTATTATTATTATTATTATTATTATTATTATTATTATTATTATTATTATTATTATTATCATTATTGTTATTATTATTATTATTATTATTATTATTATTATTATTATTATTATTATTATTATTATTATCATTATTGTTATTATTATTATTATTATTATTATTATTATTATTATTATTATTATTATTATTATTATTATTATTATTATTATTATTATTATTATCATCATCATTATTATTATAATTGTTATTATTGTTATTATTATTATTATCATTACTGTCCTTCTTATCATTATTATTATTATTATTATTATCATTATTGTCATTGTTGATATTACTATTATTCTTATCCTTATTCTTGTTATTGTCCTTCTCACTATAAATGATAATTATTATTGTCATGATTATCATCATTATTGTTATTATCATAATCATCATAAGTCCTCATCATTATCATTACCATTACCATTATCATTATCATTATCACTATCATCATTATCATTATAATTATTGTCATTATCTTCATCATTATCATCATCATTACCATTACCTTTACCATGATCATTATCATTATCATTATCACTATCAATATTATCATTATGATTATTGTCATCATCTTCATCATTTATCATTATCATCATTATCATCATAATCATCATCATTATCGTTATCATCATTATCATTATCATCATTATCATTATCATCATTATCATTATCATCACTATCATTATCATCATTATTATTATTATCCTTAAAATAATAATTGTCATTATAATCTTTATCAATATCCTTATTATTCCCAATATTTTTTTGATTCGTCATTTATCCTCTTCACGGTTATGATAATTATATAATTAATTATCTTCGTTGATTTTCGTTTTCATTTGAACGGCTCAGTCAGGGTTGATCTCCGCTGGTAATTAAGTCCTGTATTGGCATATATTTTCTCTTTAAAATAATGGTCTTCTCCACGAATTAATGATAATGATGATGATGATAATTGTAATAAGAGTAGTAGGAGTGGTAGTAATAATGATAATGGTAATGGTAATGA